ACCTTGAAATATTCAGTGGCTCACTCCTGCCCAGCCCACCTGCCCGAGATGGTTTATGTTCTTATGTCTTTACCTTCATCTTCCTCTTCATTGCCTTCCTTCTTCCATCCTCACTCTTGGCAAATCAAAGGCCAGATGGCATGACTTCCCAGTATTTCCACAGGACAGTGAGCCAGATGTACATCGGGCAAGCATCTCTTTTCAATGGAAGACAGAGCTAGCATAGCTAAACTCGCCTTTCAGATGACCGACTTAACCCTCTCCTTCATGGTTTATTTATTTGCTACACATCAAGCGTTCTGTCCAGGAAGTATCAAGTGTAACACAACAATATGTAAATTTAGCATTTCACTGATTGAACGAATTTCTGGGAAACAAACCCCCTTCATTAAAGTTACTGGGAAACAGATTTGGATTTAATATAAGAATGCTGTAACCGTTTCCCTGCTGTTGCCGAATGCCAGGATTTCCTAGGAGATTTGGAATTCTTCAGTTCCCAGAGTCCCTTCGCCAGTCCCCTCCTCAAGAGTGACTTTTCTAAAGAAACTGAGTTTGATAGATCTTCTACTTAAAATGTTGGCTTTTTGGTTTTTTTTGTTGTTGTTGATTTTTTTTGAAACAGTGACTCGTGCCCCCAACTTCTTTTCTTGCTGTTTGAAATTTTTCCCTTTTAGCACTAACCAGACCCAGCCATTTCAAGATCAGATTTATTCAGGATGGTCCAGCTGCAGACATGTAGTGGGCTTTGTGCTCAACTTGGGTGATCTCTTTGGGTCTGCTTCCAATTCTTTCCCTTGTTTTATATTCCTATACCCCTTGGATTATGTCTCAGCCTCTCCCTATGCACAGTACCCCCATACCTTATCTGATGGTAGAGATAGAAGGAAAGGAACTGGCTTGAACAACACTCCCCAGGTCCTTAACTCTGATCTCCATGTGCCAATCATATATTTCCCCAGTTAAAGCGAAATTCTCTGTTCTTCCGTTGTGTTCTTACATTATTGCTTATTATATCTTCTTGTATTGCCTTTATTATTTTTATGAATTTGATCTCCTGGCTTTATATCTTATTCATGTACTTTATGGGCTCTGAGCTCAGAACTTGGCACACAGTTGCTTGTCAAGCATCAGCAGCTTGAGTTGGCTGTGCTATGCATTCATGGGCTGCCCTCCACACTCACGCGGCAGCTCTTCCTGCGAGCTGAGTACCTAAATGAGTTTCCTCTTAAGCTCTATCTTCTGATCAAGATTCAACTTTAGAAATACGTCACAGAAAGTAAAGCTACAAACCTGCCTTTTGTTTTGGGAGCTCCAGCCTCTCTCAGAGCAAGAGGTACTTACTGCTTTTGATGGAGTCCTCAGAGTGGCCTCTGTGCCCAGCCTAGAAAAAGGGTCATTTTGACCTATTTTCCCATGAAAGAGATTATTCATTGTTTCTTATACTACATGACATTTAGATTACATTTAATTTCTGTATTACATGAAATCACATGTCTAGACTTTGTTGATAACATATACTTCATGTCATATCCAGGGCCGATGACTGTTATGGCTAAGTGTTAAGCTTTTGCTTAGCATACATCTTTGGGCAAGTCACCCACAATGTCAGGGTCCCTTCCCCTTAAGGCTAAGAGGGGATATGCTCCACTTCATAGCGAGTGTTGTTAGATGAATGGGGGGTGGTTGCGTTGGGTTTCCCAGACTTTCAGGTGGACTGAGGAGGAATTCCAGCACTGGAGAGGGGACTATTGGATTGTCCTGTGGATGAAGGGGCTTCCCCCTCCACAGTCATGTCCTGTGGATGAAGGATCCCCTCCATACTCATGTCCTGTGGATAAAGGGGCTCCCCCTCCATAATCATGGGACAACTCTTGAGGAGGATGTTTAAAAATGTCCTTCCCAGATTTGCATGTTTATGATTTCTTATTTCCTACATTTTTAAACTTTGCATCAGGATTAGAATTCCTGCGTTTGCTATATATGTGCTTACCTTATTCTATCCGTGATTCAACTCTCTACCTGCCTGCCTGTCTGCCTGTCTGTCTGCCTGCCTGCCTGTCTGTCTGTCTGTCTGTCTGTCTGCCTGTCTGTCTGCCTGCCTGTCTGTCTGTCTATCTGTCTGTCTGTGTATGTATGTATTAAAGCTCTTTGGTACTCTGGTTGAAGGGGATGGGTTCTTTTAGAAAACAGTATTTTCGAAGGCATAAAGGAAGATGCTGGACTGATTGAGCATCATTCTATGGAAATACAGTTCTGGGGATAGATCCCTCAGGGACTGCAGTCATGTGTCCTGAGAGCATCTCAAACACTGAAAATGAAACTGGAGAGTTCCAGTTCTCTCTGCATTCACTCTGTAGATGGAGGAAATAGGATCTCAAAGATAAATCTCACAAACAGGTCCAGAGTCCCCGAAGGCGCTTTCAGGCAGTGGAAAGTCACACAATGCTTGCCATCTTTTCTGTCACAAAGTCCTGTAGGATTCCGTGCTTTGCTTCTTGGTTTTAACTAAAAACACCGTGGACTTTCTGAGTTGAAAGTTATTTGGAGCTACTTCCTGCCTTATGATTTTAATCCAAAATGGAGAGTTCCTAAATATTCAACAATACCCCTCCAAAAATGTATCTGCTCCATCAAGGTTATCCTAATATTAATTATTTATAAGGAGAGCACTGACAAATTCTAATTGCAAATAAGTGCAATTGCTGTCGATTGCATAATTTATGATTCCATTTGTTAAACTAAGACAATGGGAATTGATGAAAGGCATTAAGTGGCCCCAAATTAAAGGAAATTTGGGTTCACAATCTTGTCTACAGTGTTAATATAACTTGAATTCTCAGCTTCCTAATACCCTCTGCCATACTGGCGATGTATGCACCAGGTGAGCTGTGTTCTCTTGGGCCTAGTATCCGTCCAGGGCTGTGTCAGTCGGGGATTCCCAGAGAATGGATGCTTAGGCCAGAGCACTCAGCCTCTTGCCTACATGAGCATCAGCCTCTGTCATCTTAGTTTTTGTGGCTCAGGTCCTGGCTTGGCAGAACAGCATCATCTACAATGTGCTTTGAAACTTTGCTGACAGATTTTGGACAAAGTGGCAAAGTTAGCAGTAGGGGTGGGGCCCGTTGGAAATGTTTTCCTTGAAAATGTAGCCAATGTTTTTCCTTCTTGGGTCAACTGCTCGCACAGGTTAGCATTTCAGAGGTTGGATGCAATCTCTGAAACTGCTTCACTTTTCTTACCATGCCCCATGGGACAAAGACTCAACCGTGAAATATTTTTCATAATATATTTCTAATAAGTCTGTTAAAAGCAACAATGGTTAGGAGGGAAAACATTTTTTTCTTTTGTATACACAGTGAGTCAAGTCAGACTTTGGCAAAATTTACTGTAGGGGGCTGACCTATCTTTTTGTAAAAAAAAAAAGAGAGAGAGACAGAGAAAATAATTATTAAAAAAAGTTTTAGACTTTGAATCTTGTAGATTCATTCTTCAAGGATCAAATTTCATCCAAACACAAAGGTCCAGAAATAATGGATTTTGCCATAGCTGTATTTGAATTGTGTTCTATGATTAATGAGCAAGATAATGGGTTTATTGACTTCTGGTTGTGTGTCAGGTACTGTAGTGGACAAACGACTGACCCAGATTGGCCTCTGTCATTCAGACCTTGTAGCAGTAGCAAATACAAAATGGGTTAAGTCAAGAGCTGCACACTTAAATGTTATCTGACATCCAAACCAGGCAAGATGTTCTGGTCCACTTGGACTCTGAGGAGACCCCAGCAAGGACATCACAGTGATAACCCTTGGCATTAGAGGAACATAGCGTTGTGGGCAGGCACTTGCAAAGGAAGACCTCAACGCCTATTCTGTGTGTTCTCTGTACCACTGCAGGAAACTGCTGTCTCCTCTCTACTGTCAGTTGAGCAGGAACAGACACATAAGGAAGGATTCTTAGAAGAATGGGTTTCTGAAGTGGGGAGAAGCTTCCTTCTCCAGGGCTATGGACTCTCTCTGGTCAGTCCTCATGCTTGCAGCACTAATTTGGGCCCCATGTCCAGACCTGACCTTTTGGAGGTCTTGTTCAGTCATAATATTTGTTGAAAGCCACTGGAAAAGCTGGTATCATCTACACAACTGAGGAAATGCCTCCATAAGATCAGGCTGTAGACAAGACTGTAGGGTGCTTTCTTAATTAGTGATTGATGGGGGAAGGCACAGCCCATTATGAGTGGTGCTATCCTTGGACTGGTGGTCCTGCCTCCAGGTTCCCGCCTTGTTTGAGTTCCTGTCCTTTGATGATAAACGGTGATGTGGAAGTCTAAGCCAAACAAACCTTTTCCTCCTCAACTTGTCTTTTGATCACAGTGTTTCATCAAAGCAATAGAAGCCCTAACTAAGACATTAGGTAAGCTATTTTTGGATGCCCATTGGGTAGGTAGCTAGAATTGACATTCAGCAGATGCCTTGCCTCTTTCTTGTCTACAAGGAGCACTAGGGCTGTTCTGGAACTTCCAACAGAATGTTAGATCTTGGAAACTTTAAGAAGGCACCACAGATTTGTGTTTAGGGTTAGGAGGTAGATTATGGCCATGTGACTTTTCATGGTGTCCTTCCCTTCTTCTCTAGCTTTGTCTGGGTGGCCTAGGATAGAATCGAATGGGTGTTTGAGTGTGTATGTTGTGATGGCTGCTGTTTCTGTTCTAGTACCAAGCTGTTTTAACTATGACAATTACCCCATCTCTGTTGTCTCTCACCGTCTCATCACCAACGAAGGTTACCACCAAGAACTGCGTGATGTTCATTGACATTAAAGCCCAGATGCCTTGTAGGCATATTTCAGAGAGACATCTCATGCTGGCTATAGGTATCAGAGGACACTAAGGACATGCATTGGTAGGTGGTGATGAAGGAAACATTGGAACTATTCTGGGGCCTCTAGCATCAAGCATTCAACATTTGACTTCTGGAATCAAGGGGCACAGGAAGAGAGCAGTCGAATGAGTTCTGTCCAATGTTTATTAGAGCTTGAGCCAAGGAGATATATGTTCCTACTTGATTGGAAAGCATGGAAAGCTGAAGACTACCAAAGAAAAAAATGTAGTGAGTATAACCTAGGTCAGGCTGGAGTACTGAGGCTAGAGAGGGCTATGGATACATGCTTGGTTTTGATCCAATAGCTAATACTTATTTATGTGGCACTTATATGCAATGACATAATGTAATTAAATTTCAGTTCTAGCAATGTCCCTTTAGACACTATTAGAGAATTAATTAGGGGGACTGTGGCAGGTTGTAACATGGCAGCATGTTTGAGAATAGCAAGAAAGAGAAAAGAGACTTTTCTGCTATCAAAATGGATTGGTATTTCTATGGGTAATATTTATAGGCAAGACAGGCCAAAGTGGGCCTCTGAAGCAGTGCAGGAGCTGGGATTCCAGAGAAGACAGTATGCGGACTGAGTGGCAGTCCTGGGTTATGGGCCTGGATAAGCCTTCTTCCACTATAGATTCAAGGACCTTACTTCTTTCTTTCTGAGTCCAGAAAGGAGAGATGGTTTTCTAGAAATCAATTGCTAATGTAAAGATAATTAAATATCAGTACACTTGATTTTTAAAAAGTTAAAGATTTTTAGATTTAAAGGCGATTGCAACTATGCAGGGATGGACTCCACCTTCTGTGATAGGTAAGTTCATCATCAACCAGGTATGGGACTGAGAACCACCTGTGAAGGATGATCAAGGTCAGGATAACTGATACATCTATTGAGCTGGATGGAGCCCTGTCGAGGAAGTGCAGATTCCAGTGGTCCTGAGGTCTTCTTCTAATTCCCGCTCAGTTGTCTCAGAAGCCTCATGTGGCAGGTGAAACTGTGACTATTTTGCGAGAGGAAACAAAGGCTCAGAGTTAAGTCATGTGCCAAAGGGTGCATTCTAGCCCCTCTGATACTCTAAACTGCCAGGCCTCTTAGGCTCCTTCATCCCCTGTCAGCCTCATGTGCTATCGTTGTTCTCTAGGAGAGCAACTCATGCTGATAACATCCCCTCTGAAAGCTAACCCTCCTAGCTTCTATGTGTCTGCCTTGGTTGCAGTCCAAGATTAATGATGGATACCACCAACCCCTGGACTTCATTAAATCCCTACCATCTCTGGCTTAATCGTCTTGACCTAGAATCCCACACTGTCTTTGGCTTCAACATCTTGAATCAGAGCCCTGTCATCACCACTAAAGCTTTCTCCTCTTCATCTTCCCCTAGAATCTTCTGTAATCTGGACAAGGAGATGTCTAAAGTCCTCCTGTGTCCAGGCTTATTGCTTTAGAGAATTAGGTGGGACTAGCAGAGCTGTGGTGCCCGAGTTCTCACTACCAGGCATAATTCTGTTTTCTTCCTGCCCTAGGATTCACGTTTGTGAGCAATCATTGTAAAAATGTACACATTTCATACATCTCCAAAACTTAAAAAATATGTTGTTTTTGTATGAAGAAGCAGGAAGAAAACATACCCCCCAACCATATGTTGAAGACTTAACACTTTAGAATATATTTGAAGAAAGTGCCATCTATTTATTTGTGTGTACTATGTATATGTGTGTGCTTCATGTAGACATGTATAACATGAAAAATAAAAGGACCCAGAGACAGATATTGAAGTTCAAACTTCAAGGTGAAGATCAGAAAAGTGAGGTAATGGGCCACTAGCTCTTACCACTACCTCAGACTGCTGCTTCTCCTCATTGTGACTGTAGAATCCTGGGACTGAATGTCTTCCTATGCTCAATGTGGCTGGCGAATGAATCCCTCCAATCCTCAATGTGGCTGTAATATGAATGCCTTTTATCTTCAATGTGGCTGGAGAATGAATGCCTGATCCTGACTACTAAAGACCCTGCTCCTATCTTTTATACCCCTCTAGTGCTGAGATCAAAGACATGTGATCCTGGGTGCTGAGATCATCTTTATGTGAACTGTTTGTCTTTAGGAATAAATTAATCTTGTGTAGATCTGGGTGGCCTTGGACTCACAGAGATCCATATACCTTTTCTTAATCCTGAGTTCTAGGATTAAAGATGTGTACCAATGCCTCCTAGCTTCTGGCTGCTGGGATTTTTAAGGTGTGTGCCTGGCTTCTATGGCTTATGGCTGACTTTGCTTTCTGAATCCTTAGGCAAGCTTTAATAAATCATAAATAGCATATCATCTCAGACATGTGAATGTACACATGCCTACATGTGTGTGTGAAGGCACAGGTTGATGTCTGCTATTCTTCACTATCTCTTTCCACCTTATTTTTTGAGATAGGATCTCTCAAAGAGCATGGATCTTGCTATTCCAGACAGCAAATCCTTCGATCCACCTGATCCCCCTGGCTCCCACCTGGGATTGATTACAGGAGTTATGCAATATTTCTCTTTTACATGAGTACTGGGGATTTGAACTCATGTCCTCATGCTTACACAGCACTTTACTCAATCAACAGGGTGGAGGCTATTGCAGCATGACTCATACAGTATAGGAGAATGCAAGAACACAGACCCACAGAGAGGAGACTTATGTGAAGACCCAGGAGAAAGCAGCCATAGATCCAAGAAGAAAGATCTTAGAAGAACCAACCCTGCCAGGACCATGATCTTGGACTCTAGTTTCCAGAAACAAGGTGAAATAGATGTCAATTTTTATAAGACATCCAGTCTATGGTACTTTGCTATGGCAGCCCAAGAAGACCAATGCAGTTCATAATAAGTGTCTTCCAAAATCTTTCTATCCTTAATTTATTTCTACAGATATGTGTGTTCTACTGAGTATTGATAGTGAACAAATTGCCACATAAGGCAGCAGCTTAAATCATTCATTTACAGAAGCTCACACATTGCTAAATGCACAGCAGGGTCAAGTTGTATTCACTCCATCATATAAGATTCTGGATCACACCCTCTCTGCAACTATAATAATTCACTCATGCATTCTATAGACCAGTTCAACATGGGGTCAATCAATCATTCAACGAACAGGGGGCATTTGTGATAGTGGCTCCTACAAGATGGTTCTCACTGTGGACAGGAACTTCTGTCTTGTTTGTGTGCCTTGCAGATGGGGAAGGTAGTGGGCACACCATACGTGCTTGTTGAATGAATAAATGAATGTCAGTCACTGGACCTAATCTCTGAAGATGTAGGGCTCACAATGGTGGGGGTACTGGGAGAAAGAAATGTGTTATGAACCACGATGTAGGAATATATGGGTGTGTGGTCACTTCTAGCAAAGACTGGGAGAATATGTGATAAGAGTGACTAAGGAAGAAACACAGGCTGCTAAGCTGCACCTGAGGGACACTCCTTAGACTGATGCTCCTTGTCACTTAGACATTTGTGCTCGAGAAGCCCCTATCTGGGAGGCATTTCCTCTGCACATGCCCCATTCACGGTCACCTTTTAAGTAGACATCTTCTGACTCCAAAATCGAAATGGCGGAAACTTAGAGGACTTGTGTGCTCTTGAGAATGACCCACTTAGATAATGGCAGGTCTTTTCACTCAAAGGCATTTCTGTTAAGGAAAAAAACCCTAAAAACATTAAAAAAAATCTCTGAGACATTTTCACAAGCCTCACCTTAGCACCCAAATACAAAACCACGGTGTGGATATAAGAGGCTTTCTTGGGCCTGTTGAGATGGGTCAGTCATTAAGAGAACTTTACCATTCTTCCAAAGGTCCTGAGTTTGGTTCTCAGCATCTCTCTTGGGGGGCCCACAACTACCTACAACTCCAGCTCCACTGGACACTTTTGGTCTCTGCTGTATACAAATGGCATTCACACACACACACACACACACACACACACAGAAGGAGAGAGAGAGAGAGAGAGGGAGAGAGAGAGAGGGAGAGAGAGAGAGAGAGAGAGAGAGAGAGAGAGAGAGAGAGAGAGAGAGAGAGAGAGAGAGAGAGAGAGAGCGAGCGAGCTACAGCTATCTGGTATTTATACATAAGTACCAACTCTGTCCATTGTCTTTATGTAGAACATACACAGTAAATGTCATTGTGTTTGTTTTTGAGAATATTGTTAGGCAGGCTAGGATGGCATTGTCCTGTGATTGTCTTGTCTTAGCCTGCTGAGGGCTGGGATGATAGGCATGCATCTCAAGACTTGGTGTGGTGATTATTTAACATGTTTCACTACCGTTTAGGATATGTTACAGGCACTTGCTCATTTTGAAGAATTTCCCCAATTTGTGGATAAACTTGTGACCCCAGCCTTTTCTGCTGCTTTGGGTCTGGTATGGCTCTGCTTGGCAAAGAGCTGGTGACAAATGCTGCATTTAGTGTGTACTCCTCAGACCAACAACAGGAGAGATAAATATTTTGGAGATGGCAGTAACAGAGGCAATGGGTCTTGGAGGCCACACAGTTGTGTTTGCAGCCAATTTCGGTAGTATAGGGCAAGTGCACCATGGGTAAATGGGCACCTGTGCTGTTGGTGTGCTATGGAGAGTTCCTTGGGCATTGTTCCAAGGTGCCAAGCTCTGGCCCGACTTTTTGGCAGTCTGGGCATGCAGTGAGGTGTGTACTATCATATACCATGGCTCAAGTCTCATTTTTGCTTACACTGTCTAGAATGGAGGATGTTGAGCAACTGAGAGAATCGTTGGATGGTAAAATGAGGCATTATGCATAAGATGCCCCTGGCACAAGACTTTTTACAGAGTAGGCTCAAGCAAAGGGTAGCTCTTTCTGTTTGTTTTGTGGCTTGTCTTTTCTTCCAAATTCTCTTTGAGTACCCCAGAAATGAATGTTACATGTTAACAGTATGCTTTAAACCGGTAGTCTCAGTTCAGGATGGCTTTACCTCACAGCAGGTCCAGGACAGCATCTGGGAACAGTTTTGGTTGTCACAACCAGATATGGGGTTCTGTTGGCATCTAGAAATACAGAATTCTGGTAAGCATCCATGATACATTGAACAGTTCCCACAGCAGAGAACTTTCCAGTCTTCCATCTATTCAGCAGCCCTGATGGTCTCGAATGCTGTTGTAGTTTGAGAAGTGAGAGGGGACATGGCTATCACTCTGTGATAACACGGTTACACGTTGCCAGCTCACATTGCAGCATGGGAAACCTCCAGAGGCAGGACCATGAGGGTACAAATTCAGCCAAAAACTTTCACTTCCCGGGAAGCTTTTCTGAGGATGCAAGAACAGCAAATAGAATTGCATAAGTTAAAAGATAGTTTTTATATCTTGCTTATTATTCTATGCATGTGTATGTGTATGTATATGTGTGCATGTGTGCTGGAGAGAGAGGGAGGGAAGAAGGGCAGGAGGGTGGGAGAGAGAGAAAGAGAGACAGAGGCAGAGAGACAGAGACTAGCTACGTGACACAGTAAGAGGAGAGCTAGTGGAAGCTGGTTTTCTCTTTCCACCATGTGGGTTGTAGGGAATGCCAGTCTTGACCACACATCTTTGCTTGTTGCTCCATTCAGCTGGACCTCAGGTTTTTAAAAAATTATATGCTGTATTAAGCAACTAGAAAAACCGAGAACCACAAACTCTCTCAGCTTCTGATCGAATTGGCAGTAAAGTTGGCAAGTTCCCATTCTTGGTGTGTTTTTGACAATGCTGTTTCAATTCCTGGATTTTACTGTTCCAGGGAATCTCAGTATTTCCCTCACAGACTGTAAATTAATATGATGCCCACACACAGCAGCAGTCTCTTGGAAGTCAGGCACTTTCATTAGGACACAGAAAATGGAAATGTAAAACATCAAATGGACCATTTCTTTTTAACCACAGATATAAGCTTGATGGAATGCCGTGTTGCTCTCCATCTTTATAATGACTTCAGCTCACCGTAGAACGAGAAGGCATCCACAGAAGGTGATATTTGTGCTGGTGATGAGCTGTGGCCTCCTTACGTTTCCTTCCCTCCTTGACCTCAGCTCCTGCTCTGAAAGTTGAGGATATGGATAAATGACCTCCAAATTCTCCCAGTGTCTGGGACTTTCAAGGCTCACAAAGCTTCCACAGACTTCAGTTCTGTCCAGCAAGAAGTGGTCTCATGAGTATGTTGGGACATTCACTGTAGAGCCTTGTCCAGGTAGCAGCCAGTGTTACCTCTGCCTGACACAGTGCTCCTGAAAATACTGTTGGGTAGAACCAGTTGTTTCTAGTTCAGGTACTCAGTTGGTGTAGCCAGTCTGGGGAAAGGAGTGCCAGTCTGTGCATAAAGCTCATCTTTTCAGCTAAATTCTTAAATTCCTGGTACAGGCTCTGCCTCATCAGTGGAGACCCTCATATCCCAACCTAGCTTTAAGTCTCTATAGGCCAGTATACTCGGGTAGAGAAATGATGCTGGATTGATTTCTGTCTACTCCTGTGTACACACTCTCTGTAGCCATATATGGCTATATGTTTTTTTAAAAAATAGCTTTAATTTTTAATTGTGTTTAGGTTGTGTCTGTGTAGGAGTTTGTGTACAAGTGCAGTGTCCATGGAGGCCAGAAGGTGGTGTAGGATCCCCTGAGTGGTAGTTACAGGTGCTTGTGAGCCCCCCAACATGGGTGTTGGGAATTGAACTCTGTCCTCTGGAAAAGCAGGAAGCACTCTTAACCATTGAGGCATCCCTCCAGCACTTCTTTTGTGTTTAATGTTAATATTTATATTCAGTTTTACATATTTGTTGTTTTTACAAACATTTTTTATTAAAGTATAGAAGTACAGAGATCATCAGTGCCTCTGGACCAGTATTCATGAACTAAAGACCCCACATTGGAGAAACTGGACCTCTGATACCCAGGGAGTTCTCTCTACAACTCCCCTGTGGAAATGTTTACCAAAGTTAACAAATTGTAACCTTGACTTCTGACGTTATCATTAAGTTGTTTGTGAACGTTTTAATTAAATCACATGTTCTAACGTTGTTTATGTTCTTCTGTTTCATGGTATCTAACGGTAGTTTTAAAGAAAATGGTTTTCAATTTTATTCTTTAACAATTGCGTTCACCCTATTGTTGATGTTTCTTTGTTTTTGTTTGTCTTGCACTATTGTGCTCCCACCAACATACTCGTACATGTGCTTTGATGAATACATGCACCAGTTTCCATTGTGAATTTTTCTACAGATCACATGGCTCAATCATATGTGCTTAAGTACAATCTTAGCATGGTTGAAATCGATTCACTGGCTTTTGTTCCCTCATGAAATGTGCTGGGATTGGCGTGACAATACATTTCTATGTCAAACTGACATTTAATAACCATATATTTATAGGGTATAGGTAATGTTTTGAAATATAATTACATGGAAAATGATCAAACCAGGATAATCAGGACACCAGTCACCTCATATATCATTCCTTTGTGGTGAGGATATTAGAAACCTCCTCTTCAAACTGTGCTGAGATATACATTGTTGTGATGAAAGCTCTGGATTGTTGAGCAGAACTTCAGAGCTCATTTTGTAGCGTGGAACAACCTTCTCTAGTTACTCCTCACCCATCTTAGCCTCCAGAAACTGCCACTCTTTCTAGTTGTATGAGATTAGCATTTTAAGATATGAACAAGTTCACATAGTGTCTATCCCTCTGTGCTCAGCTAATTTTATTCAACAAATATTCTCCATATTAATTCACCCCTACACAAACGACAGCTTTACTCAATTTGGGATTTGAAATCTTTGCGACTGAATCTTCCAATTACCAATGTGTATTTATCCATGTTGTTATTTATCTATATATGTTTTCTTTAGTCTTTCTTTTGGTCATGTGGTTTCATCAGCAATAACAAACCAAACTAAGACATGGTCAGTGTGCTTTTCAAGGAAATTTGTCCATTTCTTAAAAAAATTTCTGATATATTTCTATGTAGCCACTTTTAGTATATTTTTCTTGTCTATTAAATTTCTTCATGTACAAATAGATAGTGTTAATAGTTTCCCATGTTGGTAATTTTTATTCTTTCATTTTTCTTGATCATTTTGTTAAGGGGTTATCTGTTGTGTTAGTTTCTAGAAATAAACTTGGAGCTTAGCAAGTCTTTCTCTGTTGTTTTGTTTTGTATTTTATTAATATCTGCTATCTTTGTTAATATCTTCTGCTGTCTTTGGATTTGGTTTTATGTCTTTTTTTCTAACTTCTGGAAATGGATACTTAAACCACTGATTTTAAGTTTGCTTTATTTCAATAGATGTAGTTGAGGATATAAATGTGACACTCCATAAGCCTCTCTGTATTTTTATTTCATTATAATTTGACACAAAATAATTTCATGGTTTTGAGATTTTTTTTTGGTCTGGGCCTTCTTGAAGCATGTTGCTAAAAATATTTTAACTTATAGAAATTTCTTTCTCTATTTTGTTACTAATTTATATTTTTGTCCTTCCTTCTCTCCTCCCTCCCTCCCCCTACTCCCTCTCCCCTTCCTCCCTTACTTCCTTCCTTCCCCCTCCTTTTCACCCTGCTCCCACTCTCTCTTGTGCTGGAGACCAAACCAGAATTCTTATACTTGTTACCCACTGTTCTACTATTTAGTCACATCCCAGTCTCCCCCACCCTCCGACTCCCGTTTTGAGGCACAGTCTTGCCTCATAGCTGAAGATGGTCTTGAAGTCATCATTCCCTTACATTCAATCTGTTCTTGCTTTCTGAGTTCTGATATTATAGGAGTATACTACTTTGCCATGGTCATTGTTGATATATACCTTACCTCTCTAACTTCATGTGCAGAAAAATGTCTATCTTTGAAATTGCTGGGGCTTGTTTTGTGACTTAAGATACCATTAGCTTTAATAAGGTCCCTTGGCATTTGTAGCAAATGAGTATGCAGCAGACATTCATAAGACTCTAAATAGGTTGTTAGGATACATTTATTAACTGTGCTATCCAAATTTTCTATATTTCACTTATATATTGCTAGTCTGCTGGTATTCTTTACAGAACAGCCAGTTCCTAATTTCTCTAATTACATTTTAAATCATAATTTGAATCAATATTGCTTTCCTTAAGATAATTGCTTTATTAATTTAAGCAACTGTTATTGTGTGTACATGTATGCGAATAAATATGTATGTGTGTGCATGTCTGTGTATATGTGCATGCTTGTATGTGCATGTGAGTGTATGTCAGTCTGTGAGTGTATGTGTGTGCATGTGTGGGTATAGCCATATGTGTGGGTATCTGAAGTTTCTATAGTTTCGCTGTGGCTGCTTCTACTCAGTTGCTGCAGGATGTGATTTGAAGAATGCTGAAATGAGATGCAGGTATTGGAAAGCGTAGTTAGAAGCCCCGTGCATTGCACTCCAGTATTGTCAGCTTTTGTGCGTCCTCACTTTGGATGAGCAGCAGAGATCCCTGGAGAGTTCGCCCTGGATTCTGTCTTCTTTGCATCTCTGCCGCCTGAACCCAGAAACTAAAATAGACTTAATTATCATTCACTTTACCCTCAGAAACTTGGGTATTCACGTAATTTTCTTCTTTCTTAGATTTTAAGGATACAGTTATCTACAAGTTTGTGAAAAGAGGACTTAAATGCACTGAAAAGAGAGGAGAAAAAAATTCTACGATGGCTTTTTTCCTAAATCACAAATTAGAATTCAGAGTTGAATTTCCCTGATTTGTGAATTGGTTTATTTGGAAAGTCTTGAGGCATTATAAAGTTAAATGTACTTAGCAATCATTTTAAGAGATCATTAGTATGGACAGAAAATAGCTACTTGGAAATTGATATAAAATACAGAGATGTAATGTTTGGGAAGTGGAGATAGTACAGTCCTAGTAAGTTGAGACTATGTAGCTGTTGTAAGTATATGAAATATCTGCTACGAGACATTGTAAGAGGATTCCAGATTTCTCCATAGCACTTTATTACAGACTAATATGCAATTCCACAAGTAAGTCTTCATGGCAATAGCTGAGGGGACTCTGTGAGCAGTATTTATATCTAGCAATAATGGAAAACATCACTGCTGCTAAATTACTTGGGAGGAACAGGCATTTCTCCAGGACGGAATCTTATTCTCCTGAAGGTATCACATGGTAATGGCGAGGCTGAGTGAGAGCATCAAGAGGGCAGAGTACACTCCAAGTCTGTTACTCAGCGGCCCTGTGATTGGAGCAAATAGCCTACCCTGTCTTGACTATAAGTCTCCATCTTATACCCAGCTACCGCCACCCAGC